TTGATCCGGATTAAACCTTGCGGAATGCTAAACTGGCTGATAGAGTCACAAAAAGTGTGGCTCATGCGTTGGTTCAGCCAGGGAAAAGCGACAAAGCGCAGGTGCAAGAAGCAGCTCCCCAAGCCGGCCCCCCAACAAAAGTGTCTTTGCACGGTACATTGGCACTTTGCACCAAGCCTTTCCAACACACGTTGAGCGGGTTTGCACGTGTTTGCCATACAAGTAGGCCGCTTCTCGTCCAGATATGTGGGGGGTGCAAAGCAGTAGAGCCCAAAAGCCCTTTCATAACTCAACAGGGTGCCAACTGGGGATGCCGAATGATGTTGCCCAGAAAACCGAAATGTTTTTCAATGGCCCTGCGCCATTGAAACACTTTCCTCTTGGGTTCAATGACTCTGCAACATCATTCTTGCTTTTGGGCGCCATGGAAGCGTTTTTGCCATCCCCCCAAGGATTCAAAAAGGACATTCCTTTATGCACATGTGTTTGGGGTTCATTCCAAGAAACCAGCTATAGGAATTTCTGCAGGAAATCCTTCTTGCTGGGTCTTTGGCAATTTGTACGCACACTTCCCTTTTTTTGTAGTGCTACCTTCCCCATTCTTTCCAGGGATCCGGATCTTTCTAGAAACCCTCCGGAAACTCCCGGAAACGGATCCGGTTTTCAAAAAGAACGATGATTGGAAAGAATGGAAGAGGAGACAACCCCTTGAACAACTGGCCTCATCGTTTTATCATGATCAAAGTCACCCCCGTTCAGTGATAAACTTGTCAAACCCCTTTAGAAGTTCAAGAAGTCAAACCCCCTCTAGAGCTTTGCTGGTTTCTATGATCAACGATTCATGGGTCAACGTGCCCTTGTGAGCTTCGCCTTTCCCTCCGAAGCCGTTTCGGAAAAAGGCAAAGCTAGCGCAGACTCCTTCAATGTGGACGAAATCCATATCACATGCAGAAACCCTGGTGTCTGATGAATTCCCTGCAAATTTCCAACCTTAGGGGTTCAACCATTGTTTCTGAGGCGGTGCGAAATGGATGTCGTCCATCCACAGCTCAACTTGATTGAAGTGCCCCTTTGCGCACACTTGAGGAATGCCCATTCGAGGAAAGAATGCCTTTTTAGGGCGTGTGCATTTTTGTGGGGCTGCTGGAGAATGCCAGGAACAACCGACCTACGCCTCCAACATGCCGACTTCCTCGACTGCTCGCCTCCTCCCGGCGAGCGCGCAGCTCCTGCGACTTTCCACAGGCTGCGCTCTCACGAGCTGGGCGGCTCAAAATGGAGGCTTGGCCAATCGGATTCTCCATCATCCCTATAGGAAGGCCACTACAAAGGGGACCAAATCCGATTTTCCGTAACCCCAGGTAAGGATTAAGGAGTCCCTTTGAACAGCCCAGACTAGTCTTCGCGCTTCTCGTCTCTCCCAAACTAGCTCGCCATGCCCGCCGAACAGTCAATCAGAAAGGCAAGGATCCACAGAATCTGACCTGATTGCCTTGAAATTATCACCTGAATGGGCCTGAATGGGGCTGAATCAGTAACGACTCATGACACCCATGCCTCGCATGATTCCAGCTTCATCTTTACAGCATTCTGATTATTGCACATAGCATTCATTCGGACCCGCACCCAGGCGGATCTAAAACCACAGAACAAGCACTCGGCACTCGGCACGTTGGACTGCGGATGCGCCAAGCCAGCAAACCTTTTGTTTGTTCACCGGTGCTCGCAACTTTGGGCGCACCATGGCGCACATTGCCAGCTGCCATGCGCCTGCTGGCACTTTTTTCCGATCCCTTTTGCTTAAAGTCATCTGCTTGTGACATGGCGTCATGGTTGGGTAAAGCCAACTGTGCGACCTCAAAAAGGCAGCAATTCTCTAGACTCCGAGTGTTTGTTTGTCTGAGTTGTGCCCTTTCGGGGTGAGACATTGAGTGAGTTAGTTATGCCCCTCCCAAATTGGCCAACTATTGTCAGAACAAACCTCAACTCACTGTAAACCCTGGCAAGGAAATTCGAGCGCACTCTGCACGGTTGCCCAACCATGACGTGCCATGAGCTTGGGCTTGCAACGGCTGAACTCTGTCTTGTTTGCTCCGACGGCTTGCACGGGCAAGCTTGCACCAATGTAATTAGCATAGGAAAAGTTTGTTGCTTGATACTCTTTGTTTTTTGCAAAATCAAACAGCCCCCTTGGACTTTACATGTTTATGGAACCCCTCTGTTTTCTTCCAAACGAGGAGGCCAAAGGCCTGTGCCCCGCATCAAGGGTGTCGCCGATTCACTGGACAATTGCGTTTGGCTTACCTCCATGTGTCTTGCACTTTCTTGCCCATCTCCATTGCACGCCAACTCTCCGGGGGCAAAACCTTCAGTCCGCGCTCGTTGCAAGAGGCAAGCAGCTGTGAACTTGCAGGAGACTTTGTTGCACAGCTCATGAGGTCTCGCAGTGTAAGCGCACGAACTACAAACAAAACACGAGGAATTCTCCAGACTGTGCCCTTCACACCACCTTCACACCATCGGCGGAGATCAAAATGAACATCGTTATGGGTATGCAGTTGGCTCCCACCCGCCACAAACAGAGGTATAAAATCAAACAGTGACGCTCTTGTATTGATACGTGCTCCTCCAAAACAAGAAGTGCAAATAAGTCCCTGTGGAAGTTGGCTTAGCTCCGGCAAACGTCAACTTGCTGCGATGGCACCTCATTTCCATGGCGCCAGCAAAGAACCGAGCATTTACAAGGCCCCGCGCGTGCACCATCTGCCCCAAAACAAGTCGGCTCTTGCCCGTGAGCAGTAAGGCTTTCATCCGCTCCCTCCAATTTGTTTCGATTGGTGGTTACCTGGTTTGGAGGTCAGGAGGTGGTTTCTCGTTTAGCAGCCGTGAAGGGTGCCTGAGTTCAGCTGTTTTGTTCGACGCCACCTTTCGCAGCACTTTACCACCCCGCTTGAAGAATTGTAAACTTCAAACTGGCCTCAAGCTCTGGCAACAAAAAGTTTCAACTTGTTTTTATTACGAAAATGGTCTTCCTAACCTTTTATTTGCGTAACCCCCCGAGAAAGAATAAAACATATTTCCAATAGTGATAGATTCCCTTTAAAACCAACAAGGGAAAATAAAAACATATTCTTGAGCAAATGGAAGGAACATGTATAAAGTGCAGGAACGCGGCCACTGAGTTGTTCTGGCTCCTCGGTTTTGCAACTCGAGGGGTCCCTTGGCCTTGGCGTGGGGTTCCTCAGGTGTACGCGCGGCTTCCGAGAGCCGGGGCCATCTTCCTAGGTGACATCAAACGCCATGCAGGAAAATAAGGCCCCTCCATGGCTCACTTGCCCAGAAGCAAACCGGTTGCCACATAGAAAAAAAACACCTGTATTTGGCGGCTATCAGGTGATGCTTAAAACCAACACAACGGAAATATGGGTGTCTCAAACTGGGTTTTTCAGAGGGGCATCCGTACTCCCAATCCTTAATTACTCCGTGGGCTCCACTAGGTTAACTTCCGGGCCCTTGACTGTTCAGTCTGTAAACATGCGCTAACATGAGGCCAAACGGGCGCCTTTGGGCAAGCGATCTGGGGTTGTACAGGCAGGTCACATGAGCCAAGAGCCCAAGTTGCCAAGCTCAAGTGCCTCTGCTGCTGCCATGCGTTCGCTTGGCCCCCTCCTCCCCCCCCAAGGAGAAAAAGACACCTCTTCGAGGCACACACATTTTAGTATTTAGAGAACCCGCTGAACAACAAGATGTTGGGAAACCTTCTTGAACCCCAGTGTGGAAGGATTTGAATGGATACCGAGAGATTCCTCAACCAGACAAGCATGCAGTTTGTTGACCATGCGTCCTGACCCGATCTGCTGCTTTGTCTCTGCACTACAGCTTCAGCAGTCTCTTGCCTGAGGCCACATTGGAGGGAGTGATATGGTCGAAACCACGGGTGTGCACCCTGTGTGTTGCGATTTTGAAAGGAAAACAAATCAAACGGACAAACGACGTCATTTTGGGGGGTCCCCAAAGAAGACACACCCATGTAAGAAACCCTAAGAAATCCAAATCCCCCAAACCATTGACTATTGACTAAACTAAGCCAACACTAGGACACTGGGAAACAAAGGCTAGGGATTGCCTTCAGTTGGTAGGCTAAAGGGCATCTTCAGTTTGTGGAGGGGGGGGTAAATCCAGATCCACAAAGAAATCAAAAGACTTCAGCGGGAAACTACAAGGTTCAAGGGTCTTTGAAGAGGAAGAGGAATGCCACCTCTGACCCCAAAGGACCCAACTTCCGGAACCTCGTGGTATGGCTTTATATTATGTACCCAGTCGGTGGCTTGATGTGCGTGGCTTTCCTCCTCTCCCGGCACGCCCCAAGTTCCTTGTATCACTGGTGGGGCAATCCAACCAGGGCAAGCCCCCCCCCCCAAACCGCCTTCGATTGATTTGAACCATGCCTCCAAGGTTGCTCTTTGACTGACCCCTGCAAAAGTTGGCTTTTTGCTAGCTAGTATCATGTAAATGTTCAACACATTGAAGGTCAAACCAAAAAGGATCCAAGCAAACGGTCAGTGGCTCAATTGCATGCCCCAGTGCCTGCGAGTAAGCGGGCACCTTGCCTTCTCTTTGCTATACAAGTTGCAAACCAGTGGGGCGACATAGAATGTCTCAATACGCAAAGTGGAAGCAAACAAAACAACACACCAACAAAACACCCTACCACCCGTCGCTGGTTCCACCTTCTCAGGCAGACTTGCAGGGTGTAAGTTTGAGGGACCGTATGTGCCAAAAGGACGCAGCCCCCCACGAAAGGGATCCTCTGTCAGCATGGAACCCATAGAGGTGGCCCCCCAAGAAATGGACACCTGAACCTAGGTTCCACGTCGATCTGGGTGCAGATCTGGGTGCTACGTAAGGGGGTCTGTAAAACAAAATGCCCAAGGTCTGACTGCCTTCCGCCCCAACATTCCCCAAGCGCCCCCTTAGCCTGGACGGCCAGGGTAACTTGCTCAGCGGGCGCTCGCGATTTGATCTTGCCTGGGCAGGTCTGCATCTTCGAGGGCTGAGCTTGAAAGGTGACTTCTTGATTCAACCCCTCCCCCTAAACAATCAGCCGGTTTTCAAGAAGAGCAACCAACCAACCAACCAACCAACCCACCCACCCCCCTGTTCGCCCGCCCGCCCACCCACCCAGGCCCCGAGTATAAATCCAAGGCGCAAACGGCGGATGAGGGTCTCCTTCTGGGCGAGGCTCAGCCTGGCCGCGTTGGCCAAGATCATCTCTACCGAGACTGGCGCCGTGCAGAAGGTTCCTTGGTGAGCGAGCATGGGTGGGGTGGGGTGGGGTGGGGTGGGGTGGGGTGGGGTGGGGCGGGGCGGGGCGGGGCGGGGCGGGGTGGGGTGGGGTGGGGTGGGGTGGGGTGGGGTGGGGTGGGGTGGGGTGGGGTGGGTGGGTGGGGTGGGAGGGTGGGTGGGAGGGTGGGTGGGTGGGGTGGGTGGGTGGGTGGGTGGGTGGGTGGGTGGGTGTGTGGTTGGGGAAGGGGGAAGGGTTGGGGTGGGGGTGGGGGGGGGGTCTATCCAACTAGCTTCACGATTCCTGGCACGTGCTTTATTTATGCTGTTTTTGTGTGTTCATTGTTGCGGCGGCCTGGAAATTTCAGAGTTGTCTGCCAGCAAAGCAAGGTTGGCGAGGTAACCTGTAAAAGGCGCTTGCAGAAAGGAAAGTCTGTTAACTGGTCGGGTTGCCAACCCCGTCCACCGTGCGCCTTGTTTGGCAATTGGCCCGCCTTTTGAAACGAGGTACACTACCCCTACAGGAGCGTTAAACATCACCCCAAAGGAAACTGACTTCAATTTGACTCCAAAAGGTGATGTTTGAAACCGGTCAGGCCGGGAAAACAGAAAAGCGCGGGACAACAGGGTCACATGTAGCATGGATCCTTGGCTTGGGACGTAAGAGCAGCATGAACGTGCAGCAGGCTGATTGCAGGCCTTGCCTCAGCCTCAGCCAGGCCAAAACAAATGAGGCATATGTATTCAACAACGCTAGCGCGGTCCGAAAGAAGCAAGACTGGGATCACTTTGAACAGCCGAGGGCCATGCCCAAGGAAAACAAAACGACAGCAATCTCAGCATGAACAACTTGTCTTCGGCTTGGCGCCGCAATGCTGCTAATGATTCTGGCACAACATGAGGGTGTTACATCACAGCTACCTTTAGAGGTCCACCGGATGCAGGGTCCCACAGGGTGCAAAACCTATCATGCAGGATGCACGGGAAAATGACCTCAACAAACGCCTCCCAAGCAATCTTGCAGGTTTCCAGATTCCGGGCGCCGAGAGCGGACCCAATTTTGTGCGTCTTCCCCTGCTCTTGGCACAAAATTGCCAAAACCCCCCAGTGAACATCCCAATCCCCACTAAAATAGACTAAAATGGGTGGTGCATCTATCCCAAAATGGTACAATTGGTGTTGACCCACAGCCAAATGGGCACGCAGAAATCTGACCTCTGCAGTTCCAAGCGCTCGGCGCTCTCGAGGCCGAGCATCGGATGTGCACAAAGGTGCAAAGGAACATCACAAATTGGCAGTCGAAGCGGTCCATCATCCCCCCATGGCCGGGAATGAGGTTGTTGAAGTCCTGCCGCAAATTCGGACCCAGCCGCCACTTTTAGGTTCGCCCTGTGACAAAAAATCCCGCGGGTGGCTTAACTTCCCTTTGGACCCCTTTCTCAGGGCCAAGCCGTCCGTCGAGCCGCGAATTCGAAGGACCCGCCAAAAAGGAACAACAAACGCCCATCACCCGTTCTGTCTGGGACTCCCCAACTTGTAAAGCAAGCTTGCTCGTCTTTTGTTTGGTTAAGGCCCCAAGAAGAAAATATAAATGTGTCCAGTAGTGATGAATTCCTTTTAAACCCAACCAGGGAAAATCAACATATTCTTAAGCAAATGAACATCTTTCTCAAGGCCCAACTGCGCATGGCCAGCCTGAAGCTCCTTGCTGGGAATGGGGCCACCATTCACGATCCAAATGTCCCGAGGCTATTCACGATCCCAGCTGCGGTCAACTGTCGCCCAAATTCTGCTCGCACCCCCGGATTGCAAGGCAAATGTGTGCCATGTGTGTCACAATGTCTCCATGCCGTACAGGTTGGGGACCGGAAGCTCTTCGCCTTCGACTCCCGAAAAAGGGGCCCCAGCACGCAAGCTGCCCCAAAACCCCGCTGAAGCCCCAAGAGGCTAATCGGGTTGGGCCAGCCGCCCACGTTGAAGATCGTTCCGCAGTCTTTTGTTTCAACAAATGTCGCAATCCCAAACCTGTCGTCATATTTGAACATGTTTGAGCTGGCAACCCCATGTTTGAGCTGATATTTGCCATCTGGCGAGACGCTGACAAGGATCTGTATTGGAATTCCTTGTGCAACCAGCGCGGCCCCAACCCCACCCAACACCGATCAGTGGATGTTCCGTTTCTTTGTTGGCCAGCCTATCAATCAACCCCAGTTTATTGATTGGGGGCGTGGCTCCGGGTATTTCGCGAAGAATCATCACTTTTGGGGGCCGAAACCACCCCCCCTATTCATAAACTAGGGTTGATTGATCCGGGGTCAACATGATATAAATCCGTCTTCCAAAAATCAGACCCAAAATTGTCCCAACCCCAACCAAGCCACCAGACCCGGCTGACGCCAGCCCTGCCCTGCCTTGATGCCGTAGGCCCTCTTGATGGCGCTGGAGAGAAACCCCCCGAAGGGCGCTGCAAAGGAAGCGAAGAAGGCGAGGCTCAAGGCGTGCAGCTGGGCCCGGCAGATCTCCAACTCACCAAAGGCCTGCCGGGCGTGTCTCGTGGTCTTCTCACTTGCCCAAAAGACCTTGAAATAAAAGGTTAACCTTTTGGGGTCATGACTAAAAATAGACCAAACCCGGAAAACTAAAAGGTCAAAAGGTCGGCTTTGGGCAAGTAAGGTTGTCTTTCTTCACTCGGTTGCAGATTTGCTCCCCTGCTAGAAGTGAATCACTTTTAGTAGTTCATACGGAAAACCCAGTAGTTGGCAAAAAGCTATAAAGTCCTAACATCCAAGCAACATGCACCAAAGTTCAGTTCAGGTCCGGGGGCATGCGCCCATTTTTGGAAGCTCAAGCGGCGATCGTTCTGATACCGCCGGTTTAGGCGAAATCCAGTGACCCCGTAGTTGGAACCCCGTAGTTGGAACCCCTTCTTTGGGTGCCTGGTAGGAAAAAGTCGGTCTCACGCCGAATTTGCATGGGGATCTGTTCACCGATTGTAAGGCTGGCCATGGGATCTGGGCCTTGTCTTGAGGGCTGAGCGGCCTTACCAAGGGGCTTGGGTTGTGGGGTTTGTGGGCTTCTTTGGGCTGGGTTGCTACAAGGCTGGTTTTGGTCTGCCACAAAACTGGTCAAAGAGGATGTCCCGTTTGGGAGGGGGTTAAATGTGTCCCAACAACAACCATGAAATGATCCTTTGTGTCCTTCGGCCTGATCAGATCCCCGCCTGGAGCTGAGGGACCTTGCCCAAAGAGGCTCTCAATCTGGGCAGCACCTCGAAGACGATCTCTGCGATGCTCTGGGGTCTGTACATCCTTAGGCGTGATCTTTAGCTTGCGAGCGGTGCGAGAGATGCAGGGAATGAGACATGGAACGACCCTGAAGAAAAAAATAAAAAAATCCCCCATTTGGTTGCCTTTAAGGGAATTTCTGGGTGCATCCCCACATTCCCTCTCGCACCAGCAAGTTCAAGCGCCTGCAAAGAGATGCCGGGATGCCGTGGAAGCCCTCTAGGTTTTTGCGGATGCCCCATGAATGGGGGCAAACCACTTCTCAGCCAGGGCAACAACTTGCCCCCAACAGTAACGCCCTGAAACTTGAAAGGGAAAACATGTGAACCGGGCCAAAAGGAAGTTAGCGTTTCCTAAAACAGGGGCCGCTTGTGGTTTGCAAGGAGAAGCTGCAAGAAACCGAATTGAAAAGGAAACACAACACTTCAAGGGCAGCTTCAGGTACGAATTTTGGAGGTATGGAGGTCATACCACTTATATACGGGGTACATACTGCCTAACAAGCTTACATTGGTGGCATATAAGACTGCCGTGTGCTAGTGCCAACCTGACGGTGGGTTCAGTGGCATATAAGAATCCGTACATCCAAAAACCAACACCTGAAATCCTGTTGAAAACCAAAGAAGACAAAGCCAAAGGCGGGCCCAGGCAAGTACCACCCCCAATCAGCGCGGTTTGGTTGATCATGGCTAGGCCTGAAGCGTTTCAGGCGCCTAGGACAGATTTGGGCCTGGCAACTCACAGAAGCGCCGGCGAATACTCATGTTGGTGTCTGAATAACCCGGGATCACACGAAAAGGGGTCCCCTTTTAGGGACATGATCGACTTTGCTGGGTCCCGCTGACTGGGGTCGTCCGGATTAATGCGACGTCAACATTATTTTCACTCTTGGAAATGAGATGGACTTTGGATGTACCCACGCCTGCCCAAAGGACCTGGAAATCAAAGGTGATCAGCTTTTGGAACCTTAGGCCTTGACCAATAAATATAGACCAAAACAGGAACACCTATGGACCAAAACAGGACAACCAAAAGCTCGAAAGCCAGCTTCTACCGGACGCCCACGTGTTCGCGCCGGGGCTCGGGTCAGGCTCGCAAGAGAGGGGGTGAATCGAGAAGGTCATCTCTTCCGGCGCACAGGTCATCCACTTGAAGTTGCAGAGGTATCCTGTGAGCTCGGCTGCCGGGGCTGGCGCGGCAAGACCCTCAGTAACTGCTTCCAACAGCCAACCCCGGTCTGAAAAGCCTTGGGCTCACTAGCCCGGCTGCCCCAGTGACCCTGGGAGAAACAGGGGAGGTCCCTCCATTTTATTTAGGAGACCCGCAAGTTTAGGAAGCTCGGCTTCCATTTGCTGAAGATCGATCCGCACGAACCGTACCCTTCCCGGAACATCTGTCGACTTTCTGATTAAAGGGGGATAGTTCACCAGCCA